TTAGGGCACCCACTGATTTAGGGCCCTACAGGATCGACGTATACTAGTATTAATCTTCCTTGATATGAGATTTAATACAAAAAAGACCCAGATTCTGCCCATTGACCCAATTTCAAAAAAAAAATAAATAAATCAATACTTGTAATATATTTGATCCTGATTAGATATGGCTTTGATACTAAGCACAATTAAAATATTTTTTATTGCAGTACATTATGAAAAAATGTGCTAACATTACCTTGACTGATAATTTTATCTACAGTCTTCTAGTATGCATGTAGAAATAAAAGTCTATTATAAATTTTGTTTTGGGGGGTAAGAAAATGTTTTATAGTTCCTGAATTTGATGATCGCTAAGTCATTTTAAAATGGTCGCAAATTTGGTGACATAAAAATTTTTTTAGGGGCCAATCAAATACCTTAGGTGCCATGGCGACTAAATTAGTCACCAATTAAAGCCCTGTTATGTGAACCTAACTTGCATTGAAGATGCATCTAAAGATACACACTACCTGACATGCTTTGGATGCTGATTCTGACCTACATTTTCCAGTTGACTGCACAGGTTAACTTTTTTTTAAGTGAGTCTATCCCCGAGTAAGTATTAGCCCTGTCATGACTGAATGCATGGATGATGCATCTAGGGATGCACACTACCAACCATGTTTCTGATACTAGATCAGACCTACATTTTTCAGATGAGTGACCAGATTAAATTTTTTGAGCAGGATTGATTCCTAACTATATATAAGCTCTACCATGACCAACTTGCATAGATAATGCATCTAAGGATCCACCTAAATTTACTGGATAATGGTAAGTTTAAATTTTTTGTGCAAGTCCATTATTAAGTAACTATAAGCTCTACCTAAACTAAACTTCAGCTAGGGATGTACACTACCAGAAATGGTTCAAATGCTGGATTTGACCAACTTTTTTTTATGATTGAACAGGTGTAAATTTTAGGAGCAACTCATTTTAAAGTAACTATTTATGGTCTTGTCATGACTTACCTTGTGATTGGGTATGAAAATAGGGATGCAGCAAACTACATGACTTACTTCAGATGATGGATCTGACCTACTTTGAACAGATTTAGTTTTTGGAGCAGGTTCAATTTCAAATAACTATTAATCCTCTCATGACTTAACTTGCATGGATGACGGATCTAAGGATGCTGGATCTGACCTTCAGTTTACAGTACTGGTGAAAGGTTTTGGAGCAAATCTATTTCAAAGTTACTATAAGCCAGTACCTACACAACTTGCATTATGATAGATTATGCATTCAGGGATGCACACTACTGAACTGCTTCAGAAGGTGGATCTGACTTACATGTCAGTATAACTAGGTCTTCAAAGCAGGTCCATTTCCAAGTATAAACTATAACTCCAACCCTGATCAAACCTATATGAATGATTGCATCTCGGGATGCACATTACCAAAACATTCATTTGGTGTGTGATTTTAATTTCTTACAGATAAAATTTGTCAAGGTGAGCTTTGTAATCTTTGATTACCTATATTTTGGGTCTGTGGTCAAAGTCAAAAGTTAAAACAGACACCACTATCATTATACATGTGATGCAATGACTTGTAGATTTTTAATACATGTACTACCAATATGTAACAGTCCCGTCAGCTTAGACACAGCAAAGGCATAGATTCCACTTCCCAAAAACCATGACTAAAGCAATCCTGCTTCTATGTAAAATATGTATAAAAAGTGATGCCAAAATATGGTCAAGGCAGGGGATATTGGCAAAATATTTAAATCTGCATGATCACATGCTTTTTCCAAACCTGTGTCGGAAAGCCATGCAGGTTTCCTTACATGGACTCATGGATTCTGAAAACCCATTCCAGAAACCTCTGTCATTTTCAATATGTGGAGACATGGATTTTTGGAAAACAGTGTCAAAAAAGCCATGTGACATACCATGTATGAATCACAGGATCTGACTCCATTCATCTGTATATCTATAGGTCAGGATCTTTTAGAGTCTCCTCAAGTAACTGTAGATTTTGACAAAAAAAAAAAAAAAAAAAAAACACCGACAGAGCACAAAAAGTGTCAGATGGCAATGAAGCCAATTTCACTTTACTTAACAGAATTTCTAGGGAAGTTTTGAAAACATTTTTCTTACTATGGTAGAAGAAAGGAAGTTCTTGCAAGTACATGTAGACTATAAAACAAATCATTTCAATTATTTGACATCTAACAGCAAATTTATAATGTAATATTCTTTCACAAAACTATCAATAAAATTTTGCCAAACTGCTAACGATGTTAAATACAGCAAAACTCGGTTATAGCGAAGTTCTGGAGACCTGCGAATTTACTTCGCTATATCCGTAATTCTTTATATCCGTATAGCAAATTCGTCAAAGTATGCATTGCGAATTCGTTAAATTAATTTTTTCCTTCAAGCATGACTACCAAATGTATTTTATTTTAGGGAAGTTTAAAATATAAAATTTATCTTGGAGTTTAAAAGTTTTATAATGAGTAGAGTTTCAAATGTTTAAACTTACAAAATTATTATCAGTTCAACATTTTAGAAATTAAAATCTTTAAAAATTCACTATAAAAGATGTCAATTTTGTTATATTTCACTTCTATGGGACACAAAATCAGTTCACTATAGCCGTAAATTCGCTATATCAGAGTTCATTATATCCATAAAATTTTACAAGGAATTGTTAAGAATTTTGCCGGGGATAGCAAAAACCTTCGCTTTATCCGTAAATTCGCTATATCCGTGTTCATACTAAACGAGTTTTGCTGTATACCTGTATACTCAATAACAGCTTAAATAAAATTCATTTTCTTATTTATAGAGTTCATTTTTGTTCTCCCCATTTCTGGATATTTGATTCAAAAGAACTTTTAGTGACCCAAACATTTTCACAAAATTCTAATTTGAAAAAAAAATTGAATTCTCAACAATGATAAGAAGTTTAAGATGGTTTAGTGATTGACCATCAAGAATACCAGTCAAAACTGGTAACATTTACAGATGAAAAATGAATGACAGAAATTAAACCTTTGATCAAGTAAGTAAGGTCTCTTTTGAGCCAAAACTTCATATTTTAGAGTATTTCAGAATCTATTTAATATAATTATGAAACCTTTCCATCGTACTTTCATCTTCCGTGTGGAATGCCATTACATTGACTAAGAACTTAAGCTCACCTGCCATCGTGAAGATCCAAATCCTCTGCCAATGTCACCACATGAAAATTCTCCCATGAAAACAGAGCTCTCTTCGTTCCTCCAAGAATGACCCAGAATTTCTCAAATACCTGTAGTAAAAATATACCTCAGTACAGTCAGTTCAAATTTCAGAAGCAAGGTAGGAATGTTCTAACCCAGTCAGATATCTACCTGAGCAATAAAATCTGTTATATAGATAACCCATATCTCTCTATCCTAATTGTTATTATTACCTTGATAATCTATAAATGTATATGCAGTAGCCAGCTTTGTTAAGTACATAGTAGTGACATAACCTAGACAAAGTGTATTTTGGATGCTGATGCAAATCTTTGAACCCTTTAAATATTCAGAATATTCTTCCAACTGCTTTAGTTCTGATATGTAACTTACTTAACTTGTGTCACTCTTTTAAAGTTTGGGGGCCATGTCATATACTGAAATAGATCTTGATAATTAAAATAGAATGTGGGAAAGGGGGGGGGGGACTTGCTATAGTGCTTAAATTAGATCTATCCAAAAAATTCTTGTTTATATTCTGACTTTATGGATTTTTACGAAGCATATTTCAGCTTTCTCAGATTGAAATATTTTATAATCATGGGTAAATAAATCTTAATTACATACTGTATGCAACAAATATAACCAAATACAAATTAAGATAATAGCTAGTACAAGGATATATGAATACAGTTGAACTTCTTTATCTTGAACACTGATATCTCGAATACCAGGTATATGTCGAAGTGATTTTGCAGTCCCAACCATTTTCTCTTTATGTTTTTGAACCCTTTTATCTCGAATCCTTGGACATCTGGAAGTTTAATCTCATTGCCTTTCAGTTCAAGATAATGAGGTTTGACTGTATTTAACTTTGCTTGATAGGTAAATCCCCAAGTAACAAATTGCAATGTTTATAAATAGAACCACTTGTTTTATTATGACCCCCTGTTATCTTGCTCACAATGATAATAAATTGCTTTTCCAATATCATAAAACATTGATAGCAGGAACCCCTCATCAGTTTAGTCTAGAGACACACATTACTTAACCTACTTATAGATCTTCAAGTTCTACAAGTCTAAACAACCCATTGTTCTGAAATACACTATATATATGAGAAAAACACATAACTGTCAAATGGTTGGGTTTAAGAGGATATACATAATTATATTGAAACATGTGATAATTTGCATGAATGGTGAAGCTATGTTTTAATGCAGATTACACATACAATTGTGAAAACACAATGATTTTCTTTGAGATTTTTTTCTATTCTTTATCTTGAATTTTATCATTGCAGTCTTGAAGGCTAATTTATCTTAAAAGTGCACATGTCAAATAGGAAGTTTGTCTTATTGAAGAGGGCTACAGTGAGGTAAATATTCAAATTGTGGATATAGACAAAGTAACACTTAGATCAAAATCATCACCATCCCCCTCTTTATATACAAAAAATAAAATCTTCTTTTCTACTTAGTTATAAATTTAACTTATAAACCTTACCTTATAAAAATAAATACTTTAGTTTTCTGAAGCAATAACTTTTAAGCTGGTTTTTGCATGTGTGTACTGTGTGTGTTTTAAGACTTTACAGAATAAACTTTCACAAGTGCATTACTTTTCCACTGGAATGCACAGAGCAATTAATCATGCCCGAGGATAATGTTAGACAAGTTTAATAAACCCCCTTTGTGTATTGTGGTATACAGAATGTAAAAATATTCCAATGTTCTGCATAATCATGTAAACGAACCCTTCAAAAATATCAGTAACACACAGCTCTTTTTCAGCATGTATTAACATTTTCTGTACTACATTCAATAAATGATTTAGCAAGCACTGTATTCATTTATAATAAAAAAGCAACATACATAACAAATTACTACATTTACATACATAATTACAGAGGATATAGAATTATGTCTTACATATTGTTCTTTTTTCACAGTATAAATCATACCTCCGTTAAACTAAATAAAAAAAACATTTTTAAGGAAAAATTCAAAGGAACTGTGTCTAAAACATCTGAGCACAGTACATGTATTAAAGTTTTCACAAAAAAAAATGTTTCTCATGTAGTTTATAAATTTCTAAGAATAAACAATAAAGCCACTAAAGATAAACAGATTCTCACTACAATTTATGAGCAATGAATTTTGAAATCCCTGCCCATTATCAAAACATAAATTGAACATTGTCCACTGTTTTCAAAAAGAATGTTGAATTCTCATGCTAGAAAATCTTCAAAATTTTTATTCTATTCCTGTTAAATTTTGCTTTTTGTGCAATATAATCTCATGGCATATAGGTATGAAATTAAATTTGATTTGAAAAAGTTAGCTATATACCATAAAATATTAACACTAACATTTTAAATGAAATGGTACTGTATCCAATATCTAAGTAAAATTCTGACAAAATTTGGCATTACACTGTTTTACTGAATACTGTGCAAAAGAAATAACAAAATAATCACCAAGAAATATTGATAGTGGACAAATTTAATACAAACATGAGGTAAAATGCATAGAATGGAATTCATAGCTATAACTTGGATGCCACAATGTATATTCTGTAAATAATATATATACATATATAAAGTCTTACACTGTTGAACCAAAAACACACACACAAAAAAAGAAGTCTCTAAGGAGACGATAGCTCTACAGGTTTGAACTTAGGTCTTCCTATGTTTTCTTAATTACAACACCATTCATTGATGCAAAATTAAATATAATACTGTTTCCTAATGCAGTCTGCATATTATCAGGTTCTATTCTAATCAGAAAGGAGATATGAAAAAGAAAAATAATTTTAAAATAATTTTTAAAAAAACTAGGGATGTCAATTTTGTCAATAATTCATATTCAAATATTCAATGAAAGTATTCAGATATATTCGAATATTCGATAACATTAGTTGATTTTATATATGCATCATCTTACCCTCATGACAGATTTGGAAGAAAAATTGGGTGTGGAATTTTGTAGATGTACTGTAAGGAATTTTACATTTACTATTTGTCGATGTTTGAAATAAATATATTGATTTGAGTGTACATGTAAACACCCGAAATATAATTCTAAAAAAAATTATATCCTGAAGCTCTAAACGATGAACCGATAGTCTTACCAAGGGCAAGATTGTTCAGATTTAAATACATGTAATTACAATGTAATTACAATTATCTACCAAATAAGAGTTGTAATTTTAATCCTTGAGTCAATGTTTTCAAAACATAAACAAACACTTCCAAGGACAATTTACGTAGGTTATAAACTATTTTCCTGGAAATTTTTAAAATTTGGAATAGGTACAACCCGAGATAATAAAGTAATTCACACAGTTTATTATGAAACTGATCCCTTTACAGTTTTACAGACAAATTCTATAAAACAAGTAATTCATTGATCAATGAATTTATTTTGTCAAGTACTCTTCACATCTTTTATACTGAGAAAAAAGGGTTTCATTTTGTTGTCCTCGAAATTAATCATAGTTATCTCTTTTCTGTGAAATCTGAGAGAAAAAAAAACGAATTTTCGAATCGTAAATTCTTATTCGAACATCAACTTATCGAATGAATACTCGAATAATCGAATATTCGTTGACATCCCTATAAAAAACCTATTTCAGGTAAAAGCAGCAATAGTGAATCCAAAACCGATGCCCAGTAATATGCAACTTGATGCTTACATTTGGATCAAAGCACACAAAAACTGTTACACAATTGGGGTGGGGATGGGGGCATTTTATAATGAACAGTACTGGTCTATTCAAAGTACCCATGGCAACATTATTCATGAAATCAAAATTCCATAAAGGGACTATTTTTCTTGACATTCTCTAAAATCATGGCAGGTCTTACTCATTCAAATTAAACTGTTGGAAGTAATGTTTTAAAATCTTTTACCAGATTATTTTATTTCATAGTAACCTTGACAACATTTTTATTGAAATAAGAACACAAAATTAAACATCTTGATTTCCCAAAAATTGTAATTATTTTTATCAAAATTTGACCAAAACTGTTGGAGGAGTAATATTTTGAAATTTTGCCTACCATTTATCTCATTTTTTTAAAATCATAGAAACAGTATTCATTGAAATTAAAATCACAAGATACCAGTACATGGAATTCCATTGTATGTAGCCAAAATAAGCATGACAAGCACTATGGAAAATATTTACAGACAAACAGACAGATGACCAACACACTTTACAAGCTCTTCTGATCTTCTACAAGAAGGTTAAAACCAACAACTTTTTACCTAATAAACTACTCATCAACACATAAAAAGGAAAATAACTGCCACTTTTTTTTCATGCAATGAAGTAATAAAAAAATATATGCGTTGATATGAGTGTATCACAAAGCACTGCGTAGAATATCTTGAATCTGTGATTTTATATCTACAATCAAATATCACATCTAAAATATCAAGGTTATGTAAAAAAAAAAAAAAAAAAGAAGCAAAATAAAAATCCTTCTAAATCACTTCTTATACATGAAATAAATGCACATCTATTTTTTTTTTTAAAACAAAGTTGATTTGGTTATGTCTGTACAATAGGTACAGGTGCATGTAAATGTCAGGTGTGCATTGCTGATGTGTTTAGGTCATTAAGTGGTGTATATACTTGTGCATACAGTGTATGTATCATATTGAGATTTTGTACAGATTTTTAGCCTTTAACATTTATTTGATATGAAGGGGGACTAGAGTGTACCATCTTTAGATCTCTGTTCTTGTAATAAATTATAATAAACCGATAAAATAATGCTGATACATGGTGGGGGGGGGGGGGGGGGGTGATTTTAAAGTTCTACAAATGTAGACTAAATAATTACCAAATAATTTAATGCCTTTAAATAAGATGAAAAAAAAATGGGTAAAAATCCTACTGAATAAGAATAAATCACATAAAAAAGTCCTTTGATCCATGTATATCACCATACAGCAAAAAGAATATAAACAGATAATTCTATACAATAGCTACATAGAGTTCATATAAAGATGCAACAAAACAAAATCAGTGAATTCAATATCATTTAGGGGTCATTTTTTTTCAGATAAAAATACACAAAAACAGCTTTGTTTCCCATGTAAACACATATATCTGCTACTAATTTGCAACATTTTAAATATAAGGATAGGTACAAAGCAAAAATAGATGTACAAATAACTTATAACATATGTACAAGCAACAAATAACAAAATATCCTCTAAATAAAAGACAGATGCACATCGTATCAATCATACTTAAACACATCATTGAAAGTATTCCTTACTTATTACAGTAAGAAATTGGACATATAAAAAGAATGACCCCCCTCCCCCATCTTCCTCTCCCTCCCAAAAGCTTTATTGCATAGAATAATTATTGAACAATCATTGAAATATTATTTTTTTTCCTTGATAGAAAATTAACACACACAGTGTATAGCATATTTCAATAAAATATCAACACAACATGAAAGGATTCAGCTGTAAACCTGGTACATTATTGCAGCTTATAACTCTGTGGCCATTTTGGAAGACATTGCTTGGATTTGCTTAGCATTACAATTTTTACATAAAATATGTTCATCCAACGGATAACAGCCTCTACCTTCAGCTTCTGAGGACAACAGAAGTCCGCAATCCTGAAATTGTAACCAAAAATTTTTATACTTAAAATATATTCATACTTTGATAATGACAGATTTTAAAAAAAATCTATTGTTAAAACAAAAACAAACAACTCTCAATGTTAATTTTCCTAGTAATAAACATGTCAATTCTTAAAAAGGTACTTGTATATATAAGATACAATTTTCACTCAAAGGTTCAGACATAAGTATGACACAATTTTACACAACTTACTTCACATCTGTAGCACTGAACATGAAAACTTTTATCCATGGCAACAACCCTAACAGTCTCCTCCTGCCCTGACTCTGGCATGATTGGATTTTGGCAAACACAACATCGGGGTGCAAATTTTCTACAATGTCAAACATTTTCAGATAAATTTAAACTAATTTTTTTAAAAAACTTACTTAGCAGTCTGAGAGAAAATTCTGTTTTAATCATGATTACAGGTACAAATAATAAGACCATGTTTTATTCTTGTCTCATTAGTAAAACAGTAAAACATGCCTATAGTGAACATGCTTATAATGAATTGACGCTTACACCGAAGTGATTTTCATTCCTAGTGATTTTAAAAGTATATTGTAAACTGAAGAGATATAATGCTTATAACCAAGCAAAATCGTCAATCCCTGGCACTTAGTAATAAGTGTGAGTTTTACTGTAGTTCAAGTGGAGCTTATGACTTACTTGTGAAAATCCTCGATGCAGTGAATTTGGTTAGTAGCATCCACTGTGAAGGGTATTCCATCCAGACTCTTGCCACACACTACACAGGTAAAACAGGCGGGGTGATATGGCTTGCCTGTGGCCCTCAGTAACTGAAATAAAAGAATAAAAGTATCATAATTGTGCTAAACATGCCATCATCATCTACTGAATATGGATGTCAAAATTCCTTTGATGGTTTAATTGACTAGTTAGGGGCTTAAGTTATATGAAAGTTGATTAACCAATGCAAATGTATTGAAGAAATAGATTATATGTGTATGGTACAATTTATAATCTTTCATATATTCTGACCTCGGTAAGAGATACAGCAATAATTCTGCACAAAATAGGAGTGGTCGTCTCCTAAGAGAGACAACTCAACTTAATAAAATATGAGGCCAGTTGGCCTTAATGCTCACAAGTAACCTTTCTCTTTCTCAAAAAATTAAAAGTAACTGCAGATACTACAAGAAACCTCATTTTGTGACCAGTTTATTTCAGCATTTCTGATTTACAAAATACTGTTGTAAACATCAAGTTCAAAAACTGTTGCCCACTTAGCTTGCAGAAGTCTGTATGCATCTGCTTAAAAGTACATGTATGATCTGAAGAAACCTTAATAAACACTATATAGATATATCTTTGAATAATCTTGGTCCTTATTTTCTTGAGGAAGTGCATTAAAAGGTTTTTCAAGATATTCCTGTGTTAAACTTTGACAACCCTTATTGTGGCATCAACCTAGTCCAGGGGCCACAGTATGAACAAAACTAAAAAAAAAAAAAAAAAAAAAAAAAAAAAGAACTCTTTCATCCAAGTATTCTTTTGAAAATAAAGTTGGAACTGATTCTGTGATTTTAGAGATGAAAATGTGAAAAGTTTACATATATGAACATAAGGATATAGATACTATACACAAGAAAAACCTAGCTGAAGTCTCTGGTATTTTAATTCAATTCTAATAGCCAGATCTATCAATGAAAAGAAATTAAAACAAGAAGCTAATGAACCACAGCACTCACTTGAGTCACTACGGCCTTAGTAATCCTCATCTGCAGAATTTTTCACCTATATGTTCCTATGTTAAACTTTGATTGTCTATTGTGGCCCCTCCCTACCCCAACAGTTCAAGATTTAAACAAACTTACACAACCTAAGGATGCTTCCATATAAATATGACTAATCATGCCTTTGCTGTAGCAAGATTTTATATATTTATAACAAGATTTTTAATGTCTTTTTTTTTTTTACTATTAGTATATATTCCTATGTTAAACTTTGATCATTATTGTGCCCCACACTAACCCTGATGGTCATTATTTTAATCTAACTACATGATGATGCTTCCATATCACCATGACTACTGGTAATCAGACCTTTGCTGTTCTTGAGAAGAAGATTCTTAAAGATTTTCCACCACATATCCTTATTAATAGGAAGAACTTTAATCACCTACTGTGGTCCCACCCTATCCCTGGGGGTCATGATTGAACAAACTTGAATTTACACTACTTAATAAAGCTTTCACGTAAGTTTAAATTTATCTGGCTGAGTGGTTCCTGAGAAGATGATTTTTAAAGATTTTTTCCCTATATATTCTTAAGAAAAAATTTGATCACCTACTGTGACTCCATCCCACCCCTGGGGGTCATGATTTAAACAAATTTTAATCTACACTTCCTGAGAATGCTTTCATATCAATATGACTAATCATGTCTTTGCTGTTCTTGAGAACAAGATTTTTAAAGACTTTTTACTACATATTCCTTTGTAAAATTAAGTAAAAGTTTGCTGTTCTTGAGAAGACTTTTTAAGAATCTTTTTTCCCTATTCATTTTTATGTAAAACTCTGATCACCTATTGTGGCACCAACCTACCCCTAGGGTCATAATTTGAACAAACCAAAATCTAAACTATGTAAGCTTAAAGTTTTCTAGTCCAGTGGTTCTAGAGAAGAAGATTTTTGAAAGAATCCTAATTCTTAATTATCTCCCTTTGAAATAGGGCATGATCCTTTATTTGAACAAACTTGAATTCCCTTCATCCAAGGATGCTTTGTGGCAATTTGGTTGATATTGGCCAAGTGGTTTTAGAGATGAAATTGTGAAAAGTTTGCTACATCAACGACAATATGACAACAGCGGGCAAATTGCAAATTTTGATCAGAAAAGCTCACTTAAGCATTTGGTTTAGTGAGCTTAAAAAGACATATTACAAAATGGAACAAACTTCAACAGGAATAAGTACATTAATGTCCTAATACTCTGATTATGATGGAATTAACCTGTATATTATATTATCATATGTGCATTTTAAATGATTTGGCCATTATATACTGTAACTGCAATAATGTTGCCCTCCATTTTTTTTTTTGAGGGGGGGGGTCTCCTTAAAACATCAGATTAAAAATAACAGAAAGGGCTTCATTATTGCAGCTAGCCATTATAGTATATAAATGAAGTCAATCAGAACATTTTATATAAAACTATTGGAATTCCCTTTATCTTTTGTAATTTTGTTTTTTCATTTGACTAGGTACACCATACCAAGATATATAATGACTTGTTAAGTACACATAGGAATTTGAGGTCAATTATATAAGTTGAGAACACATTATCTCTACAGTGAGTAATGACCTAATACAGCGGAGCTTTATCCAGAACTGCTTCCTTATGGGAAACGCTGAACAAATAACACTTCCTCCAAGCACTTGTGATGAGTGCAGGTGCTTATCATTAGAGCCTGACATTATATACATACAAGGATGGGCTGTAGCAAAGAAAATCCTTTTTTTTAATGTAATTAAGAAATAAATAAAACCTATGAAACCTACCCGATCTGTAATTGGCTTTGAACACACAGAACACTTCTCTAAGCTATTCTGAAACAGAAGTTGATTAAATAGTTACACTTGGTCACAGATTTTTTTTCTCTTAACATTTATTGTACTAATTTAAACATTACTTTTTCAGCTACAGCAGTTAACTTACAATGTAGCACTGTTCACAGTAAGGCTTGTTGTCCATGGAATAAAATGATTTTCCTCTCAACAGTGTCCCTGAAAAATGAAACAGCATTTCTTCACTGCTCCTCACATTTAAAATTTTACACTATTTATGATAATTTTTTTTGCTCTAAATTATTGCACTGCATTCTTTACAATAAAACTAAGAACTACTGAATGTCCCGCCTTCCACTCAGATGATCTACATGATATTATACACTAAGTGTATGCTGGGAATAAGTCTTTGTTACGTACCACAGTTGATACAGATGAAACACGAGATGTGGTACACCTGGTCATTAGCTGTACACCCATTGTTTTCTCCTACAACCTTCTTCTGACACTTCACACAAATACCTGTAAAACAAATGATTAATACTCAGTTTTAAACATTTAAAATAAAATTTTCAAAAATATTTGATCACTAGTATCCACTTTTAATCATCTTCTATAACACACATGTACCAAAATATCTAATTACCTTTATATACATAACACACAACATATGTATACAGAAAACAGACATTATCAGACAGAACTTAACTCCTGAGAATTACTTTTCTAAAAATTTTTCCATCAGACACCATAGTGAAGGAGAACAAAAAGTTTTTCATTTTTCAACATAAGCAAATCATGATTAATAATAATAATCTACTTTGTGTCTCTGGCTTCTAGAAAATTCTTTGCAGACTAAAAAGTATGCTATCATGGCTTCTAAACAGTGTTACAGACTGGTACACATTGTCAAGGGAAAAAGCAGTGGATAATTGTCCTATGTCCAGATTATGACTGACAGCATTACATGATAAATTGGTTGTAATACCTTCGTGCAAATATTCTAAGCAGAAGCTCATAATATTATGCATCATAAAAAGGCTAAGAAAGTTTGTCAGGTTTTTTTTTTTTTAAAAAAATATCATAATATAAAGTATCTATCATGAGATTTTTAATCCCTTTTGTGTCGGAAACAGTTTATAAATAATAAAGAAAGATAATTTCACCCGTACAAAAGACTACAACTGATTCTATTATCAAGTTAAAATACTTGTCTTTTTCATTAAGATAATTTTGAGTGAGTTACAGTTTGATCAAGGGAAATGAATTATTCTCAAAAATCATAATAACTAGTGCTTACATACTATTTAATGGTAAAAATATGACTACAAAGACCTCTGACTTTTAATTTTTCTTCTTCTAGGGAATCCCACTCTGGAGACAATATAGAGCCCGAATATGTAAGCTGAACACACAACTTTTTGCTACTTGTAAACTATTCTCATACCAAAGAAGTCAGTTTCACTGGAAGAATCCATGTTTTGTATCAAGAGATTGGTCAGGGCATCAACCTCAGCTTCTTGTGTTGATTTGTCCCCACCACGTGGTGACTCTGGACCCATGGGTACCACCTGTGGCCCAGGAACTGGGCGTTCACTTCTGTAGTCGTCCTACAAAATACAAAACCTTGGGTTTTAACCAATTTATGCATCAAATGTGCTTGTTTTGTGTTAGAATATCTAACATATAAAAATCCCTGTGCAGTGATTAATATGTTACAGTTAAGAACTGGATTTACTGTAATGATCTTTATGTCCTCCTGTTACTTACCGTAAACGGTATTTCAATACAAGTAACATAATGCTTAAATCACTACAAATACATATGAGAAACAACATTTCAAATAAGTCCAGACAATCAAGCCTCTTAATTATTTCTTCATGCTACGAATATTTTTACCTGATATTTTGGAACAAATCCCCCCGAGCTAGTGCTGAGGTTTCTGTCATAGTTATACTCTGGACCTCCTTGGTTATTAAAAATGTGGTGCTCACTGATGTTCTGTCTTACATAGCCAGCTGGTGGTGCCACAGGATCCCTCGGTGGGTTGTAAATGTCAGGTGGCTCTCGGATCACTTTGACAGGGCGGGCATAAATCGTACTGTCTGACTGTGAGGAGGGACCAGAGGAGGAGTATACAGGCTGAGACGGCTGTAGGTTGGCATAGTTACTGGGAGATTTATAGGGGGGTCCAGTGGGGGACATGGAACGCCCCCCTGTGTAAGTTGGTTTCTGGTTGTCCATTTGGTAGTGAGTGGTGCTGGTGTGGTATGACTCAAATGATCTAAAAACGTCAATAATTAAACCATGTTAATCAAGTAAATTAACTTACATTTTATACTGGTAAAATGAAATATTCCTTAAAGCTCTCTGATACTACAAATTTGATAATTTCTTATTCCCACAAATATAACAAGAAATGCTCCATAAATATTAGTTGTCCAGTTTACAAATCAAACACAACACACATCCATAACACTTTAAACTCAATTTTTTTTTAAACAAATGGGATGTATCTTCTTAATGTTTCAAAATTGTACCTGTTTGGAGGGGAATCCCCATAGTTAGAAGAGTAAATTTGATTATGTACTCCATACTTTGTGTTGTCCAGAGGTTGTGTGGTATAGTTTGAGGTTGGAGAGGGAGGGGGAGGGAAATCATCCTGGGGTTCATTGTAGCCATACCCACGGGACTGATCAACAGGTGGGGGTGGGTATGGTGTGTCCTCTATGTAGGTACTTTGAGGTGGAGGGGGAGGAAATTCCTCATCCCCCTGATCTGCTCGGAACTGGCGATATGTTCCGCCTCCTACAAATAAAGTACTTTAGTGTAAAGATATGTATACATAGCAATGTTGAAGTGTGATGAAAGAAACTTCCTCAAATAATATATTAGAAGGTGAAAAGCATGCACATTACAGTAAAATAAAACTGGTTAGTCAACAGAGAGATTACTGCTACTTCCTGTCGAGTATTTCAGTTTGGATGATCATATCATAGCTGTCATATCTTTCACATCTGTGGTTTATATTTTAAAAGCCTGAAAGGTTTACTAAAAAGATACATTATGTACCTGTAAAATTTCTCTTCAAGGAACTTCATTAGAAAGAATTCTTGCATATAGAAGCTAATTTAAATTCCTCTACCAATATTCTTTACATGTATAAGCATTTGAGAAAATCAAATCAATTGCAAAAGCATTTTTTTTTGCATTTTTTTTTTCTATTAAATAAAAAAAACCCAACATTTTCCCTATCAATAATGTTATTGTGAATTTGTTTAAGAAGTCTACTCAGAGGACAGGAATTTCAGAACAGATACTTTTTACATGAACTCTTTCTTTTTTAACCTAATATTATTTACTGTTTATCTGGGACATGCTTCACATTGACTTGGTCTATAGGACTTAATAAATAATGTCTTAATTTATAAGGCCCTTTTATTTGAGAAATCTGTTTATGAAATCTTTTATCATCAAATATATCAACTGAAAAACAAAAGTAATGAATTTAAACAAGGAAAGATATTTTGATATATGAGAATTTTGAAAATTAATGAAATTAAAAAAAATAAGCTAGCTACCAGTAATTTAAACCAATTTATACACTTTGTAAAATCAATGCACATAGATAGGAAATATAATCTTACATTATCTCCCTACCCATTGATCAAAACTGTGTGCTGTGAAAGACAAACATATATAAATTAAATGTCTTTACATATAGGTCCTAACGGAATAAAGATATTTGTACGACTGAACATGCACATTAATAAAATGTGAATCAAGACTCTGAACCAATAGTCTTCTAACAATATAAATGCTTTATGATAGCATTCTATTTAAGATAGTTCACATACAGGAGTATATGTATGTTGCATATATTAAAAATTCCATTATTCAAAAGTAAAAAAAAAAAGTTTATTAAATTATACTGAAAAATAATGTTCAACATGCTCACATTAGCATACAGCTGACTAGGAGAAACTTTTTTCCCCTTTAAACTACCCACCTCCCAGCCCTCTGTCAGCATATTATAGTAATATATCTATATATGATTGTAGATGTGTTGTAAATGAGGTATATCTCATCTTTAAATCTGGCTATGTACATATCGTATCATGTAAATTTCACAGAATATGTTGTTACATATACATGTATATTATACACCCAGATGATACCTGCTTTAAAAGGTCTTGGTGAGGAATTCAAGATCACTGTGAATATAATGCAGAATACATGTACAAAGCAAAAATATCTTATTAATATTCAATTTTTGCATTTTTAGCAGTTGGGTTTTAGTTCTCTCATGAATTATTTTAAGCAAAGAGAACAAAATCAATGTTTTCATTATTGTTTTCATTATTACAATAATTAGAAGAAAAATATGCTCATACAGTAAGACACCTTAAAATACTTACAAAATTATGTGTGAAGGTGTTTACTAACTGAACCAAAACCTAAATTATAAGTATTGTTAGTGTGACATATGTAGTTTATTTTAAGACTAATTCTGTCCTACTTCTCACTCGAACTCTCATAATAATACAGGATATATCCAGAATCACTAACAGTATTTATGGGCCTTATGGGTTGTTTCTATCAATCCAGTCATATTTTATGCAAAACAAAATGAATCTTACATGATATTATTTACACAATACTGAAATGTGTCACTTGATCCCACTTTACCTGCTTTGAATGGTTTTGGTGATGCGTTTAAGACTTTAGATGGCTTGGGGGCCACAGCAGGTGGTATTTTCTTCTGAGTGCCTGGTGAGTCATTAATGTTTAGCCCCTTAAAACTCCTCTCAATTCCGTGTTGTGTCATCTCTAAATAAGGCTGGATCAGAATAACCTGCAAAACATAGTTATATACAGTGAAACTTGTTTAGTAAGAACACGGATATAGCGAATTCACGGATATAGCGAAGTTTTCTTGGATCCCCAGCTACATGTATATAAATTTTACGAATTCTTTATACAGATATAACAAATTACAGATATAACGAAGTAATTTCACAGGTCCCAATGACTTCTTTATAACGAAGTTTTACAGTATAACAAAATTTGATAACTTCATCTTTAAATTAGTATGAACTTTACTTCCCTCTGGTATAACATTTAATAGTTATGTAGACACTTAGAGGGGTAATACAGAAATATATGGGGTCCTTGACATGAGGTGTAAGGAGAGCCCAATCTCCATTTCTTCAAGGAACCCATATATTTCCGTATTACCCCGGCCAGCCTCTAAGTGTTTACATAACGAATTTATCCTGTCAGATTTTTTTGGAATAACGTTCATTTTCTCTGATTTAAGCAAACCATTTCGAAAACAATTTTGACATCGTTTGATGTGTATGTGATGTCGACGTCACGTCGTTTGATGCTAATTTGTGACGTCTCTTATTAGGTTCCTTGCGTGTTCAAATGAAAACAACATATTGAATATGATCTAGACAGATTGTCATGTGGAGGGGGCTATTGATTTGATATGTGGTGAGTAGGTCACATGGAGGGGCATATTAACAATATAATGGGTAGGCAGCATAATATGGTTTAATACAGTATTCTTCTCGACCAATGAAATTTCAAGATTTTTATCAGAGGCAGGATAAGTGGATCTATGGTATAAATATACGGAATATCGATGCACAGTACACAATCACATTTTTGATAAGTAACTGTATATGTCAAATACCCATACCATGTTTACAGACATCTCAATTTTAAACAGTCTCTCTTAAGAGGCCAAATGCTATAAGACTCTGGGCTTCATTTTCAAAATGCTTTTAATGTCTCTGTGCAAACGTCAATGAAATCTTTAAAGAAAATAGCCAAGTTCTTCATTTTACAAGATCATGGTGATGATCTGATAAAAAAAAATGTGTTTCAAGGTTTCAAAAATAATTTCCTCTGCAAAGTTAAATACTGATATTTCTACATGAATATATATTACAACAAAACTGCAGTCACAAAATCAGGACATATATCAGTTAAACATAAAACATAACATCTTACAACTTCGACACCAAATTTACCCTTCCCCTCAGTTTAGCGTTGTTTTACCTGTGACAGATGTTTAATTTCTTAAGTTATCAGATTAAATTCTAGGGGTGAAACGATACACCTCCTTCACGGTTCGATACGTATTGTATAATTTTGTCTCGGTTCGGTTATTTTCGATACGATACATTTTGATAGAAGGAAACAAATTCTACGTTGTTTTATGCTTTCTTTTTCTAAATCTAGTCACATATTTTACGAATTTTATTTGCAAATTGACTAGAAGAAATTGATTAAAATTATTTGACTGTCAAAAATTATTTTACAAGCTATCAGTCATCAAAAATTTATGTTTTCTATACTTATTTATACTGAGTAACGTGTTATACCTTATGCCAAACCCGACTGAATAACGATCCCGACCGAAAAATGAACCGAACCGAAAATTTGAGATTTTGCACCGTGTATCAAACCGAGAAAAAATACCGCGGTGCATCGATACCGCGGTGAACCGTTTCACTCCTATTAAATTCCAGTGGATCACTTCCACTGCGTTAACTTTGTAGATATATGTGTCTTGTTGACCAGTAATAAGGATATTTACCTATTAAAGCGAAGTATTAGCTCATCTGTCAATGCCCGTGCACAGCCTTAAATGGAATAGTGACTTCCGTGACGCATTTCCGCTAAGAAGTCATACAAAGAACGGTAACTCGCGAAAAACACTGTAAGGTATTCGAGGCGTTTATTCAATAATACAACGGTGCCATGTATTGCTTCATCATATAACATTACTATTTTTTGATATTGTGGTAGAAGCTACAGTATTTGATTTGCTGAAATGAATTTTGTCCAAATTTACCTAACATTTACCTGTACGCTGTGTTGGTCTCGGCGTATATTCCAAGAATTTCAAGAATGCGTCATTTGGGATTGTATTACAAATGCACAGCGAATGCGTGATGACCCTGTCGCATTCTTTCTTTCCTATTTTTTGTACTCTAAAAATATACAAATGAGTCATACAGAAAATAAAACATCCCATTCATAAACAGTTTTTGGTATTTACAGAAACATTGATGAAAATGAAGTTTAAAGGATAATTAAAGGATTGGAAGAAAGAAGTGACAAAGGAATTTTAACTTCTAATTGATCACGATATTTAATAAAATTTGATTAATTTAAAAACCTTTTAATAAAATATCATAAAACAGTTTATTTAAATTAGACCTTTTCTTCCCTCTTTTTCTTATTTTAAAATTATCCAGGAATTAAAGGAAGCCTGGATAAATATAATTAAAAATTCTGAAAAATTTTATTTTACAATTTAAAAACTACTGCCTAATTACTAATTACAGATATAAATGGACAAATGACAGAGGACTTGCTAATTGATTCAAGTTAGATAAATAACTTCAGAGAAATCTCTCTCCTCTTCCAGTTTAAATGAAATACAAGACTAAATATATATATAATACTCAGTCAATACCTAGCCAGTATGTGCAATATGTAAAACTAAACATATATATATATATATATATATATATATATATATATATATATATATATATATATATATATATATATATATATATATATATATATATATATATATATATATATATATATATATATATATATATATATAAATATAATTTAATTTTAGCTGTAACACGTCATTTGATTGGATAAAAGATTTCGTTTATATCGTATAACATAAATTTCCTTCGTCACAATGAGTTAGTTCAAAAACGTATTACTCCGCTTGACGTTACTTTTAAAATATGCTCAATTTGAAGCCATTTTTGGAGGAAAAATTGTCTTATTGTCTACACTGAAATTAAATTATAAGGAATGAAGCTTATTTTAACCTATATTATACGATATAACATAACTTGGGGCAGTTTACGCTTTTTTATAAACCGTTTCGGGGTTTATAAAGCGTAAACTCCCCAAAGTTATGTTATATCGTATAACATAGGTTAAAATAAGCTTCATTTCTTGAATGTTTTCTGTTTATATATATATATATATATATATATATATATATATATATATATATATATATATATATATATATATATATATATATATATATATATATATATATATATATATATATATATATATATACAATATTTTTTTTTTGAATGTGTACTTACAATAGATAAAATATTTATAATGTTATAATGTCCTGAAATTTGTATATTACAATAAAATGAAAGCAAAATTAATTCTCATGACCACAATCAACCTATATCTTAAGTTTTCTGGCTTGTTCTTAGAATTATCTGTTCTTAGAATTATCATGGGCAATCAGTAGTATTAAACATTTTTAATGGAATTCTCTCTCTCTCTCTCTCTCCTTGTAGAGTGTAAACATATAAACCTTTCCATTTGACAGTGGGGAAACAAACAAATAGATGTATTTACATTCAATGTGCTAGCTCAAGCATGCGGAATTTAAGCTGTATTTTTTATTTCCTAAAAATGACTTTCTTTAGTATGTAAAATATATTTCATAAAACGAATTGTAAGTACAAGAAATTATAAACATTGTAATAACTTATAAACAATAGCAACTTCCCAAAACAAAAAATGTTGTGTTAAACATCATGTATATATCAGTGATTTTTCAAATAAGAAAAAAAATGATGCGGGGGGGGGGGGGGGGGGGAGAAGGGCACGGAAAGAAAGAAATCTAGAAACAAGATGTGTTTGTGAAACACTGATGCCCCCGTATGGCAGCTTATGGCAAAGGTTAAAGTTTCTTCAAATGCAAGTCAAAATCCAGGCCAAAAGATAAAAAATATTGATACCCAAAGAAAGGTCTTGTCTCGAGGAATACACCCGTGAAATTTGAAAGACCTAGATACAACTGTTCAAAGGTTATGGCGAAGGTTTAAGTTTTTTAAATAAAAGTAAAACGTCAAGGTCAAGGTCAAAGTGGTTGGTATCCAAAGGAAGATCTTGTCACAAGGATTACATTTGTGAAGTATGAAAGCCCTAGCACCAACCATTCAAAAGTTATGGCCAAGGTTAAAGTTTTTCAAAAGTAGGTCAAACTCCTAGGTCAAGGTCAAAGGGTCAAAGTGGTTGGTGTCCAAAGGAAGGTCTTGTCACAAGGATTAAATATGTGAAGTATGAAAGCCCTAGCATCAACCATTCAAAAGTTATGGCCAAGGTTAAAGTTTTTCAAAAGTAGGTCAAACTCCTAGGTCAAGGTCAAAGGGTCAAAGTGGTTGATATCCAGAGGAAGGTCTTGTCACAAGGAATACACATGTGAAGTTTGAAACCCCAAGCACCAACTGTTCAAAAGTTATGGCCAAGGTTAAAGTTTTTCAAAAGTAGGTCAAACTCCAAGGTCAAGGTCAAAGTTGTTGGTATCCAAAGGAAGGCCTTGTCACAAAGAATACACATGTGAAGTTTGAAACCCCAAGCACCAACTGTTCAGAAGTTATGGCCAAAGTTAAAGTCTCATAAAATTTTGCAAAAGTGGGTCAAACTCCAAGGTCAAGGTCAAAAGGTCAAATATGATGGTACCCAAAGAAAGGTCTTGTCACAAGGAATACACATGTGAAATATGAAAGTCATAGCTCCAACCGATCAAAAGTTATGGGCTAGGTTAAAGTTGACAACAGACAAACAGACAAACAGGTAGACAGGACAAAAACAATATACCCCCGGGATCTTTCGATCCAGGGGCATAAAAAGGCATTGGAAACTAGAGAAAATCATGGCAATTTAATGAGAGGAAAGAAGTTCAGAGAAAGGTGTATGAGGTGCCGTTTTGGTAATTATTGCCATAAAGCGACATCACCTATTTGAATAGATGATATCACCAATTTAAACATGTGATATCACTCATTCAAATGAAATTTAGGTGATATCACATTCAAATAGGTGATATCACCTTTTCGAATTGGTGATACCAATAAATATGACGATAACGAATAGTATTCAAGCTCAAAAGTCCATTCAAACAATACAAAATAGGAGCAGAGCAAACACGGACATCAGAGGTGGGATCAGGTGCCATGGAGGAGTGAGCATACCTTGCCGACCGGTAACACCCGCCGTGTGTTCCTTGTCATGAACGGGAAAAACGGAAAAATCCGTAGACAATTCAGCGTGTAAATAATCATGGCTTAACAATTAGTATTAAAAACCTCAGTCAGCATTTGTTAAAGATTAGATTATATTTGCTGACAAGGTCATTGTATCGACTATAGAACTTGTGAAATGATGACTTTAAACGAGATTGTTAATATTCTTGTTTCGTCAACTTGCTTGTCAATAGAAATTGTTCGTACGTAGAACATGCTCTTGCGTATCGAATCAACTGAGAGGCATTAACCCCATAAACAGATGATAAGGGTATATTGCTACATAAGTAAGGAAAGTTGACGATTGAAAAGTTGAAGTCTTCACGTTTATCATAAAGCTTGGTTGTTAGGCTACATGTACTGTTAACGTCTTTTTCTGGTAAAATATCCAAATATGAAACAGATGTGACAGACTCTGTGGTATCTTTTATAGCTCACTGGGATATATCGAGTCGACATATGAATGGAAGTAAATTTTGTTAATTGATCATACGTCTTGATGTTATCTAAATATCGAGTTGAAGACCACAAGTTTTTTTTTTCTTTCTCATGTATAAGATTTTGAATAAATTCTGCTTCATTTGAATACAAAAATAGGTCTGCTAATAACGGGGCGCAATTAGTACCAATGGAAATTCCGACAGATTGTTGGAAGACCTGGTCTCCAAAAACTACATAGATATTGTCAGTCAAAAAATCAAGCATCCTTTTAATGTCAACTTTAGAATACTTGTGCATACAATCAGAAAGGGGTTTTTTTTTTAACAAAATAATGTTGCAGATGACAAGGTAAGTAAATTCATGAGTTCCATTTTTATTGAAAAAGCAGCTGTCAATGATGTCAAAAGCCTGCATTTTAATTTATCATGGAGAATGGTTGTATACAGTGTTGAAAAGTCGTACGTTTTGATGTTATTGATTTTGTTAAAATTGTGAAGTTTTTTAAAAGTCCCTTGGAATTTTTAAGTATCAACATCTGATTTACACCACTTCTTGAATACCTCCTGAAGTTTCTTCTTCACTGGTGTTAATATTTTAATGAGGACTAAAGAAAGAAACTTGGTAGAACATTTACTGGAACTCGCTTTGTATCTATGACGTTTAGGAAACCAGTATAGGTATGATAATTCAAATTCATTTTGATTGTTGGGAGTATTAAAAATATTTAAAACTGACATTTGATTTTGAAGAATTTCCTCCTTAGAAAGGGAGCTATAGATAAATAAATAGAAGATATTACTTATTCGAATAGGTGATATCACCTATACGAATTGAATATAACTGTTATCCCCTATTTGAATAGGTGATATCACTTATTTGAATTGGTGATATCACTTATGTTTTGAATTGGTGATATCACTTATTCGAATGAGATATCAAATATTTGCATTTCTTACTACCGGTACATCAAATAAGGAATGGTCCCTTCTTCAAGACAATTTAGCTTCAATTTAGCTTTTGTTTGTAAGGCTCATTATATTAAATGTATTTTAGAGGAACTTGGATTTAATTCTACAAGTGGCAATCCAACTTATACTCGTAGTTCCCCTTCTAAGGAAGAAATTCTTCAAAATAATATGTCAGT